GTTCCAACCAATCAAAACTCCATCCTTGTCGATCTCGTCGACCGTGTCGATGTCCGGGCAGCTCTCCACCGTCGTCCGGACTCGCGCCCCGAGGGCGCGCACCAGCTGCGGGCCGCACACGTAGCGCTCCGCAGTCTTGATGCTCTTGGTGAACATGGAGACCTCAAACTTGTAGCTCGTCAGCTTGTCTGCCTCGCCGTTCCATGAGGGGACGTCGACGCGCGTCGTAGGTGGCCCGCTGGCGGCTGTAGTCGCCATTCAGGCCGAGACCAGTGGGAGCCCGTGGTTGTCGGAGACCACAGGCTCCGCTACCAATCTGATTACTAGAGCTCGTCCTCAAGATCGGTCACGCTGGTGACGATGAGGAAGAGCAAGAGAAAGTATGTGTCGATGTCAATTATCGTGATAATTGTCGGTGAACACCTTTTGTCCACGATATGAACGGCCGCGCTGTAGTGTGCGCGGTCTGCCTGGCACAGCCAGGCTCTGTCAGAAAGAGTCCCGCCCTCCCTCGCCTTGAGCCGAGGGTGGCGGTGGAACGGGCAGGGCAGACGGGCAGGAGACAGCTGCTGCTCAAGCTTACTCCTGCGTATCTTTCAGACAGGAGGCCCCCAAGAGGCCTCCAAGAGGCCCCCAAGATGCACCCAAGAGGCCCCGAAGAAGCCCCAAGAGGCTCCCCCGAGGCACCCAAGACGCTCCTGGAAGCCCCTGGGGCCGCCAAGAGGCCCCCAAGACGCCCCAAACGGCCTCGAAGAGGCTCCCAAGAGGCCCGAAGAAGCTCCCCCAAGGCACCCAAGACGCTCCTAGAAGCCCCTGGGGCCGCCAAGAGGCCCCCAAGACGCCCCAAAAGGGGACGAGGTGCCCGAACGCCTCACGCCACGAGGAGCCCGAACGACTCACACCAGGACGAGGGGCCCGAACGACTCACACCACGAAGAGCCCGAACGACTCACACCAGAAGGAGGGGCCCGAACGACTCACACCAGGACGAGGCGCCCGAACGACTCACACCACGAGGAGCCCGAACGACTCACACCACGACGAGGGCCCCGAACGACTCACACCACGAGGAGCCCGAACGAGTCACACCAGGAGGAGGGGCCCGAACGACTCACACCAGGACGAGGGGCCCGAACAACTCACACCACGAGAAGCCCGAACGACTCACACCAGGACGAAGAGCCCGAACGACTCACACCACGAAGAGCCCGAACGACTCACACCAGGAAGAAGGGCCCGAACGACTCACACCAGGACGAGAAACCCCAAACGACTCAAACCACGAGGAGCGCTTTCTCTCCCTCCTCCTCCGCCTCGTCCTTCTCCCGCTCCCACCACAAGGAGGATGTACAAGGAGGCGGGAGGAAGGAGGAACAGGGGAGATATGCGGGGGCAGGCGGAAACACGCCTGAAAACCACGACTGTCGGCATGCTTCGCAAGAGTTGCTGTTTTGAGATGGGCTGGTGGGGATACGCGAAGCGTAAAGAATTAGCCTGGCGAAGGACCCAACCGTATGTAGTTGTGAGTACCGCAATTATGGGTATCGTATTCGGTGGAGCTCCCTATGGGGCCACGAAGCGCTGCACTGGGTGGGGGAGACGCATAGGAAGTTTGCCACTGGGGCATTCGGTGAAGCTCCATATGGGCCACGAAACGCTGCACGGGGTGGGGGAGACGCATGCGGACTTTGCCGCTGGGGCCTTCGGTGGAGCTCCCCATGGGCCACGAAACGTTGTGCTGGGTGGGGGAGACGCATGCGGACTCTGCCACTAGGGCCTTCGGTGGAGCTCCCCATGGGTGGAGCCATGGGGCCACGAATCGGTGGGGCCCCCTGTGGGGCCACGAGACGCTGTACTGGGTGTGCGGGACGCATGCGGGCGGTACCACTGGGACCTTTCGGTGGGGCTCCCTATGGGGCCATGAAAGGCTGTGCTGGGCGTGCGGGACGCATGCGGGCGGTCTCACTGAGACCTTCGGTGGGGTTCCCCGTGGGGCCACGAAACGCTGTACTGGGTGGTGCGTGACGCATGCGGGCGGTCCTACTGAGGCTTTCGGTGGAGCTCCCTATGGGGCCACGAAGCGCTGTACAGGGTGGCGCGTGACGCATACGGGCGGTCCCACTGGGGCCGTCGGTGGGGCTCACTATGGGCCCACGAAACGCTGCGCTGGGAGTTGCGTGACGCATGCGGGCGGTGCCACTGGGACCTTCGGTGGAGCTCCCTATGGGGGCACGAAGCGCTGTTCAGGGTGGTGCGTGACACATGCGGGCGGTCCCACTGGGACCTTCGGTGGAGCTCCCTATGGGACCACGAAGCGCTGTAATGGATGGTGCGTGACGCATGCGGGCGGTGGCACTGGGGCCGTCGGTGGGGCTCACTATGGGCCCACGAAGCGCTGTGCTGGGTGGTGCGTGACCCATGCGGGCGGTGGCACTGGGGCCTTCTGTGGAGCTCCTCATGGGCCACGAAACGCTGTACTGGGTGCTTGGTGACGCATGCGGGCGGTACCACTGGGGCTTTCGGTGGAGCTCCCTATGGGGCCACGAAACGCTGTGCTGGGTGGTGCGTGACGCATGAGGGCGGTCCCACTGGGACCTTCGGTGGAGCTCCCTACGGGGCCACGAAGCGCTGTACAGGGTGGTGCGTGACCAATGCGGGCGGTCCCATATTGGGGTCTTCGGTGGGGCTCCTGTGGGGCCACGAAGCGCTGTAATGGGTGGTGCGTGACGCATGCTGGCGGTCCCACCGGGACCTTCGGTGGGGCTCCCTATGGGGCCACGGAACGCTGTGCTGGGTGGTGCGTGACGCATGCGGGCGGTCCCATTGGGACCGTTGGTGGAGCTCCCTATGGGACCACGAAACGTGTGAGGGGTGAGCCGTAACGGGTGATGATGATGATGATGATGATGATGATGATGATGATGATGATGATGATGATGATGATGATGATGATGATGATGATGATGAAACGCAGGGAGGAGGGAGGATGGGGAGGAGGGAGGAGGGGGAGGAGGGAGGGAGAGGAGTGACGCGGGGCGCTGTCTCTTCAAAACGAGGACTTAACACCACGGGATGGTTGGGAATTAATGCTGATGAGCAACACTGTGCCTTTGAGAACACGCTGAACAAAACATTGCTAACATGGGAGATGAGAGAAAGTAGGAATATGTGTTCACTCATCGAACGCCTGCGGCAACCGGCACGCGGCAGTTTTCGCGGCTCCAGGTCAGGCAAGAAAGGCCGAAGCCGTCGACGACGTTCTAGCGACCAAGCCCAGAGGGCACACAGGTCGACGAATGCGCGCCGAGGCCACGTCTGACTGCAACCACGGCACTTCGCACGATATCCAGTTCAACTGGTTGATGAACTAAGCTGGGCACTGGCGTTAGGGAAATGGCGACCGCCACCGTGCTCCCTTGCACATTGAGGCGCTGTGGATTTGCAAGTGCTGTCTGATAGGGCTGCTGTATTCTATCAAGAAGCCCCGCCTCCTCTTCGCCTTACCCTGCGGTTTGAGGCCCCAACTCTCCATACCCACCTCCCCACATTCACAGCCTGTCGCCTTTGCCTCTCGCCTACGTTCGAGACGACATCGATGTCCTCGGGCGCAGGCGCCGACTCGTGCGTGCTGGGTACCCCTGTCAGGCAACTGCTGAAGCAGCACAGGATCCACAGCCCGCTTCACGCAATACACGGCGACGTCGAAGGGGAAGGAAATGCGAGGAGACTCGAGGCACTCAGACTCGGGCTCAAAATCGAGACTCTCAAAACGAGCCATAGCCCTGAAGCCGCTGATCCGGTCGGCTCTACGAACCCCTCGGGGGCGTTCAAGAGGGGGGCGTCCAAGAGGGGGGGCGCAAATCATGGCCGGCGGCATGTGCGCGGCCCAAGGGGGGGTCGGGGACGTAACGAAATAAGAGGAGGCGCCATGAAACCTCGAGAGATACCATGGCCCCCGCCATGACATCCGCCCACCTCCCCTAGTCATCACCCCCCTCTTGGCCGCCCCCGACCCTCCTTATGTTGCCCCGAAGCTTCGCCGAACGCCGGGGCAGAGGCGAACGCCGGGCGTCCGGGGGGCGAGTTGTTCTTTTTCACATCGCTGAAGAGCGCATTCAAGTCAGACTGGTCAGAGGCACGTATGGGCTGGGCCATGTGTGAGCTCCTTGAAATGCGAGACATGTGCCTCCTGACGAGATTGCCCTGCAGACCCTGTGCGGGACGCGCTGCGCGACGGATCGGACACCGTACAGTACAGCAAAAAGCTATCTACTCGTACGCGGCTGAGGAACAGGGGGGGGCAAGAACACCATGAGGAGCAGGAGGAGGCGGAGGAGGAGGAGGCCCTAGCCTGCAATACGCGGGCACAGATGCCCCGCCGCTAAGCCCCAAAAACGCCGAGGCGGGCGCGCTGTGGCGACGCCCTGGTTGGCGTGGAGCCGCAGAGGAGCGCACCGTTGTCTTTGCCGGCGCATGACCACGGAAGTCGTGGTCCACTCTGTATCTTACAGTGCGCCGTTCGTCGGCGTCCTCGTCGCTCGCCTCCTCCTCGTCCTCGCCCTCGCCCTCTCATCGTCGCCTCCCTCCCCTCCTGCGTCTCCCGGCGGCAAGAGCTTTCCTACAACGTCACCGCTGTGCGTCTGGTGACTTGGCAAAAAGATGCAGACGCTGGCACACATGCCCCGGCGCTGGGCCCCCAAAACACCGAGGCGGGCGCGCTACGACGACGCCCTGGTTGGTGTGGAGCTGCAGAGGAGCGCGCCGTTGTCTTTGCCAGCGCGCGGCGGAGGCCAATTCTGACCAGAGCTCGTGCTCCACCCTGTATCTTACAATGCGCCGTTCGTCGGCGTCCTCGTGGTAACGCTCCCTCGTGGTCCTCGTCCTCGTCCTCCCCGTGCACCGCCAGCTTCTCTCCTCCTCCTCCTCCTCCTCCTCCTCCTCCTCCTCCTCCTCCTCGCTTCGTGCAAGAGAGCAGACGTTCAATCCGCGGCGATCTTTGCTCAGATCGACTTGTCGACGTCGTCCCTGAGGCTGGCCTCTCCCTCCTCCTCGCCCGCGTCGGGCTGCCCCGGCAGCTTGTGCATCGCCACGTGGGCGAGGACCGCCAGGAGCGCCCCGCAGAGCGGGCCCGCCCAGAAGACCCACATGTCCTCCCAGATCTTGTCGCTGACCTCATCGGTGACCCTGTCGAGGAGAAACGTCGCGACGAGCGCGGGCCCGATGGTTCGGGTCGGGTTGATGGAGCACCCGTCGATGGGGATGAGGATGGAGTGGGCGAGATAGACGGCCACGCCGATGGCCAGAGGCATCGTAACGTTTTTCGTCTTGTCCACGACGGCCTGCAGCACCATGAACACGAGCAAGAAGGTACCCAAAGCTTCACCCGCGAGGGCCTCCCCAATGCCGATGTCGGCCGCAAGCATGTTGGAGCCGAGTGCCCCTCCGCCAGGCACGCCGTCTGGAGTCCTGTCGCTGTCCGTCTCCTTGATCAGTGCAACCAGCGCCGCCCCCGCGACGGAGCCGAGGACCTGGAAGACGAGGTTCACGGCCGCCTGGAGAATGCCCATGTCCCCGATGCCAAAGAGCTTGGCGATCGCGAGCGCGAACGTCACCGCGCAGTTGCACTGAAGCCCCCATCGCCCGAGGGCGCTCGCGAGCACGAAGATGGAGAACCCGAACGTCAGCGCCACCTGCTGAACCCACCCGCTGGTCCCGGCGACGCCCGTGGCAGTGCCGCAGCAAAAAGCCACGAAGAGGAACATCCCGATGAACTCGGCCGCACATCCCGCGGGCTTGATAAGCATCGCCATCTCCTGGCCCCGCGAAGGCAACTGGGCAGGTGAGCAACAGAGCGCTCCTACTTCCTCAGCCATGGGCCAACATGGTTACGGAGGCGTCCGATGGGGTGAGGTGTGGCGGCCGCGGGCAGCGCTCGGAGGGGGCGCCCTCTGGAGTGCTCAGGAGATCCTCAGGGTTCTTCTTGGCGGCGCGCACAAGGAGGCATGGGTGGGAGGGGGGAGGGCTTCTCAGAAGCAGGGGTGCTTATAAGAAGCCTTTCCCCCCTCACCCCCCCCCCTCTGCGCTCGCAGCGCCTGGCCCAAGGTGCCCCCAGGATTTCCCAGGAGGCCCCCACGGCCCCGAGAGCACCCCTCACGAAATCCAGAGGGGCCCAGGGGCTCCAAAGTGGAGCGAAAAGCTGGGGGCACCCTGGGTCAGTGGCACCTTTCTAGCACCCCCCGATCTTCAGGAAACCAACAGGAATCCTCCGGAGCCCCCCCCCGATCCTCAGAACTCCTCAGGATCTCGCAGGAGTCCTCGGTATCCCCAGGGATCTCCAGGTTTCCCTTCGGAATCCCGCAGGAATCGTCCAGGAGTCTTCGGGAACCTTTCGGGATGCCTGAAGAATCCTTCGAGATTCCTTCAGGAAACCCTGAGGAAACCTCAGGAAGCTCCCTGAGGAATCCTCAGGTATCCGCAGGAATCCAGGGAGACCCACCCGCCACTTTAAAACAGGGAGAGACAGCGAGACCCATCCCTCACTCAGCAAGGCGGGGAATACGGGCTGTCAGCAGCAACCGGCGCGCTGGGTACGAAACCCCCAGGAAAAGGGGAGAGGTGGGTTTAGGGTCGTCGGCGGTACCCGCTGCGACCGGCGGATCGAAACCCCGGGGAATCCAATGGGGGTTCGGTTCGCGCCACAGGACACCGCCGACATATAGGCATGAACATAACAACAACCGCGACGGGACGCTGTTGTACGCGACAGAGCGCGGCCCTGCTAAGATTATAGCTATGGGGGCTTGGTCCCTCAAATGTTTTAATATTCGGGTTGGCATTGTTTTGGACCCTTTAAAACCAATGCGTGTGAACATGACTGTGGCTGTGTGCGTGCGTCGGAAAATCCTTCCGTCATTACCCCTTTCCTCCCTCTGTCGCATGGTGCATCAAGCCGATAGCCTTGCGCCTCTACCTCCTCCTCAAGTTCATACTCCTGCTGAGTTTATCTGTTCCTCCTGGTCCTAATCCTTCACATCATTTTCTTGCGTGGGGATTATTATTGGCCCAAATTTGCTTCCGCACAGAAGAACTACATCGGGCGAAATGCTCGCCTAACGAACTAGTACGGGCGCCAACGCACATGCCACACACAGCAATAATGTTTCAAACGGAAGCCACGCATCTCGACGCCGATACCGTAGCGATTACTATTACCAGGCTGCCGAAGAGCACAGGCGTCATGCAAACACCATATCGGACAAGAGCGCCACAACGCGCCAATGAGCAACACCCTGGATGTGACCATTGCACCTGTTGCCAATAGGACGTTTCCAACGGAACCACTCTAGCAACATGATGACCACGCTTCTGATTTCTGAGCATCGCACGCATCGATTACGACCACACTGAGGGTCCTGTGATCACCGCAAGGGCCAAACGCGCCATTACCATGCCCCACCCCCCCAGGCATCGCCCATGCCACCGAGAAATAAAATCAACAACATCTCCTCCACATGGACCCATCCAGCCCAACACAGTCCATCCAGCTGAGCAGCCCAGGAACAATTGGCCCAGCTGGCCCGCCCAGCCCAGCGAAACATCGAGCGCAGCCAGCCAGTCCCGCTGGCCTGCCCAGCGCAGCCACCCCAGCCCGCCCATGCTGTTGCAACAGTCCTGGCCGGCGAGGCCGCCCACCAACCCGGCTGAGCCGATCCGGCCCAGCAGGCCCAGTCGGCCTCTTTCAGCCAGCCCCCGGCCAGCCAGATCAGGCTAGCCCAGCTAGCCTACCTGGCGACCCAGCCCAGCCAGTCCAGTCAGCTTGCCCAGCCGCACCTGCCAGCCAAGCCCCCCCATGCAGGACCAGCCAGCCCAGTCAACCTGGGCAGCCCAGCAAGCCCTGGCCAGGCCAGGCCAGGCAGCCGAGCGAGGCAGCCAGTCGCCCAGGGCCACTGGGAGAATCCCAGCCTGCTCAGCCAGCTGAGCGGGGCAACCAGCCGCCCAGGGCCACTGAGAGAATCCAAGCCTGCTCAGCCAGCATCAGCCCTTCAGCCTGGCCAGTCTAGCCGTCCCAGCCAGCTCGGCTAGCCGAGCCATTTGAGCCAGGCAGGGCCTATGACCGCTTCCCGGCCAGCCCAGCCCACTCAACCAACCCAGTGAGCGCAGCTGGAACAGCCAGCAGTCAGAACCAATTACCCCAGACAGCACAGCTGTCAGCAAGTCCAACCAGCCAGCCTAGACAGCCCTGAAAGCCTGGCCAGCCAAGCCCCCAAAGCCCCACACAAATAAATCATCCGAGCGAACGCAGCCAGCCCAGCCAGCCTTGTCGGCCCTGTCGGCCCAGCGGGCCCGACCAACTCAGACAGCCGAGCCACACAGCCTGGCCAGGCCTTCGCCGTGCCCGAATGCACGCGAAAAAACAGCTCGCGCTTGTGGGTAGGCGTGCGGTGCTGTGATTGCGCGCTCCCCAGAGCCTTCTTCCGCCGGCCTTGCCCCCAGCATGCCGTGGTGGATGAAGCATGGGCACTCTGGCGGATGCGCTCCAGCCAATGCGCTAGGCCTCCAAGATCGTGATCATCGGGGCGATGTTGAAAGCCACCTGTCGCACGTTTGTACGGTGACACGGCTAAGCTCGCTCGCGCCTGAAGTAATTTAGTGGGCAAGCGACGGTGACTGCCGCGGCTGCGCGATTCCACGCATCCGCAGGTGAGGACGCAGGCCAGATGCGATAGCGGCGCCAATCTCACTGGATCGGCCTCTCGGAGGCCATCGGAGGCCTACTGGATGCCCTTCCGAGGCCGTCGTCGCACGCGTTTTCGGGACCACCGGACCCCGCAAACCCCGTGACAGTTGTTGCCCGGCGGGTGGGCCACGCGTGCTGCTTGCATTCCGCGGTAGGCCGAAGCCGTCGCGAGTAAGATAACGCCAACCGTGCGGCAAACACTTGACCCCAAAGGGCTTGCACGGACTTGCTCAAGCTGAGCGGGGCACGACGGCCGCCGGCCACAAACATCCACGGGGAGGTCTGAAGCGGTAGACGAACTCTCCGTCTCAGAAACACCTGGGCAGGTGAGCATGTTCAGCAATGCGGCAAGACATCAGGCGCCATCATTCCGGGCCCTTGCAGGCCCATGTCATTGTTATACGCGCGTTCTTCTGATGCTGATATGTACGCGTGAAATCAAGTGCTCACGGGGCACCTGCATTTCGCTGGCCCGGCGAATTTGTCAAGAGCGCTATACTACCTGCGCGATGGCCTCGGTCCGATGCCGTGCCATGCGGCATGCCGCGGCGCCGTGTCCAGCCTGGCCATATGTCTGGATTCGTTTTCCAGAAATTGCTGTTCTGGTCGTGATTGGAACCGTATTGTGGACTCGAAAGCCTTTTGGTGCATTTCCCTCCCAGGCCAGCCAATCCAACCCATCAAGCCCAGCCAGCCTTACCAGCATCATGGCACAAAATGACTCTTATCCTGTGGCACGTATCATATCACCAGAATCGTAATTTTCTGAGGTCGCTACCATTCGCCGACCGCCTCCCCCTTTTAGCCTAGTCATGATCAGCCTCCTCCTCCTCCTCCTCCTCCTCCTCCTCCTCCTCCTCTTTCTGTTTCTCTATTCTATCCTCCTCCTCCTCCTCCTCCTCCTCCTCGTTCTCCTGCTCTTCCTCATCTTTCTACTCAGCCTCATCACCAACTTCATCCTCTTCCTCCTCATCAACCTCCTCATCCTTCTCCTCAGCCTCATTTGCCGTCGGCTCCTCCTGCTGTTCATGTCTCCTGCTCCCTCTGATGCCCCTTCACTGCCCATCCCCCTCCGTCGTCAGGCTCCAGGTCCTCCTTCTACTCGGCCTCCTCCTCCTCCTCCTCCTCATCGGAATCTTCTTCCTGTGCCGCCTGCTGCTGCTGCTGCTCCTCAACAATCTCCATTCCAGTATCTTCCTGGTCGTTTTCGTCACCGTCCTCCACTTCCTCCAACTCCACCGGTGCACCTGTGGTGAAGGTGGAAGTGGACCGTCACTTCCTCTACTTCCTCCACATCCTCCGTCTGCCCCTCCTGCCTGGCCGCGCTTGACCACCAGCTCAAGCACCTTGTTCTGTTTGCACTCCTCGGAAAGCTTCTGCGAGTCACCGACAATGCCGTTCACTGAGACGATACTGTCTCCGCGGTAGACTGCCAACTCAGGGTGGTCAGTGTTCCATTGCTCGACGAGATCTCCGGTCACCCCTGTAATCTGCAGAGTAACACCGTCCTTTTTGCTCACTTTCATGCCAAGCTTTCGACCAGTCGTCTTGTCGAGGACCATCTTGAACTCGCTCACGGCTTCCTCGACCAGAGGTCGGGAGGGACAGAAACTTGGAGGGACGCGAAGAAGGCATGGGCAGGAGGGGGGCAAGGCGAAGTGGATCAGGGGAGGAAGGAAACAGTGAAGATCGCAGGGCCCAAGCTTTCCCCAAGAGAAGGATCATACAGATCCCTGAAATTGCAATGGCCAACTTTCTGGAAGCTCTTCGACACATGTTGAAATTCACTGGCGATGGAACATACCTGGAATATGCTTGAATGAGAATAAGACGATGTATGCTCAATATGTGATCATCACAAGTATAAGGTCGGAGAAACTTGAGATAAGCCCAGGCCCCCTGGGGAGACTCGCAAGCTCAGCCTAACGCGCCTCTGACCCTCACAAATCAATTCGTAGAGGTAGAGTGCACTGCCGCCGGGAAGACTGGCGGACCCTCTCGAGCCCCACCTGGCCGTCGGAGTCCTCTCGGAGCCCTCTTGGACTCCTGGGGCCCGCTTGGGGCCCTGGGCCCCACACCGAAGAAACCTAGAGCCTAGAGCCCAGGATCGAAGTCCGTGAGCTTTGGCAACCATATGTCCATGATTTGCCACATGCTGCATCTCATAACTTTATCAATCGTGTGCAGTGACGACCAACTGCAGCCCCAAAGCGCCCCAAGAACGCCCAGAGAAAGGACCATCGGGGTCGCTGGTCCTACTTGTCCTCCTCCTGGTCTTCATTTTCCTCGCCCCATCGCTACTTCCTGCTTAGCACAATCATCATCATAACCATCACCACCATCATACTCAGCATCGTTATGTTAAGCGTCATCACCATCGCGATCATCACAATCAACCTCAATCATCACCACCATCACTGTCGTCCTTGTCGCCGTCATCATTGCCAACATCATATTCATCCTCACCATCATCAACAGCATAATCCGCATACTCATCATAGTCATCATCCTCATCACCATCAGTAGCATCAGCGTTAACCATCATCATCATCATCGTCATCGTCAGCATCATCATCATCATCAGCATCATCATCATCATCATCATCATCATCATCATCGTCATCGCCATCATCATCATCATCATCATCATCATCATCATCATAATCGTCACCACCACAATCAACACCATCATCATCACCAGCAGCAGCATCATCTGTATCATCATCATCACCATCATCATCACCATCGCGGTCGTCACCATCGTCGCCATCAACATCAACATCAGCACCAACATCATAACCCGCTTCATCAGCATCATGATCAGCAGCATCGTCAGCATCAACATCGTGATCGCCCTCGTCATCGCCAGCATCAACCCCCAGCTAGCACATTCGTGACGGACGCACCTTCTCGGTTTCCAGATGCTTCTCCTCAACCCTCCCCTCCTCACGCCTCTTCACTCCGCGTCGTGTTCGTCCATGTCCTCTTCCCCTATTCGCCCCCCCCCCAGGTTTCTCATCCTTCCCCGCACTGCTCAACAAACGTCATTCCAATCCTGTTTTCCCTCCCCTCCTCCATCCACCCCCCCGCGCGCTCGCAACACAGTCTAAAACTCTAACGGGCCGACACGTAAATGCCCCAACTTGGTCCGACAACTCGTACGTGCTCACGGATCAAAGCAGAGAGAAAGGAAGAGTAACTCATCCTCCATCTCAGCCTTGCTCCGAATCCCGCTCCGCGCTCCTCCCCCTCCTCACTTGTTTTCCTCGTCATCCTCGTCCCCATAACCCCCTCCCCCTCGGCATCCCGATCTGCTTCTTATCCATATCGTTCCTGCAAAACTGGTTCTCTGTGCTCATCCTCGCTCGTCCTCGCACGCCGTTGTCTCCCCGTCTTCCCCACTTCCGTTTCATTCCTTCCCCTTCAAATCATCAGCCCAAACACTCACCTTGCTGTTGCTGATACTACTCCCCCCTCCCCCATCCAAATCCTCACTCCGATTCACTCCTCGCCTCCCCCCATCAAACCCCCCTCCCCCAGCCAATCATCCTCATCCCCCTCTTCTCCATCTGCCCAAGAAGAAGTCAAGCCAAGACGTTGCCAATGGATGTGTTTAGGAACTACTGGCCCTCCGTTTGCCAGGCGCAACCAGCCGCACACGATGCGTCTGCCAATGCGCTCGGACACTGCGCGCGCGGGCAAAGAGCGGCATCACCCCCCCCCCTACACACAGTCACGCACACACGCACACACGCACACACGCACACACAAACACACAAAAACACAACAAACACAAACACACTAACACACAAACAAACGAACACACAAACACACACAAACACACAAACACACAAACACACAAACACACAAACACACAAGCACACAAGCACACAAACACACACACACACAGACAAACACACACACAAACACAAACACACAAACAGACACACAGACACACAGACAAAGAGACACACAGACACACAGACACAGAGACAGACACACAGGCACACAGACAGACACACAGACAGACACACAGACAACAGACACACACACACACAGACAGACAGACAAACAGACAGACAGACACACAGACAGACAAACAGACACACAGACACACAGACACACAGACACATAGACACACAGGCACACCGACACACAGACACACAGGCACACAGGCACACAGACACACAGACACACAGACACACAGACACACAGGCACACAGACACGAGTAACCCACGTCATCTTCCAGCGCAATAAGAAAATAGAAGTCTCCTGGGCAGCATCGGCATCAGCATTCGTCTCGGTGGGCGCCTTCGCCTCCTCGAGCTCCTTCGGCTGCTCGACAGCAGTGGTGCTGGCCGCGGTGGCCGACTCGTCTGCGGTGGCAGCCTGGGGCGTCTCGGCATCAGACTTCGTCTCGGTGGGCGCCTTCGCCTCCTCGAGCTCCTTCGGCTGCTCGACAGCAGTGGTGTCCGCGGTGGCCGTCTCGTCCTCGGTGGCAGCCTGGAGCTTGGTCTTGCATTGCTCGCAATCTCGCCCGCTGCTGGGACCAGCCGCCAACTCCCCCCCTCCCTCCTGGCCACAATGGTGGGCAAACCTAGACGAGCAGCAGGCGGCACAGACACGAACTGTCGGAGGGCCGCGCCGATTTCTTGGATCTGCGCTGAACCCCTTTCCGGGCGCGCAGGCCGCACCGTGGGCGGCGCCGGAGGCGCCGCCAGGGGGCCCAAAGCAGATCCAAGCCATCCGCAGGCCCAAAGTTCATGCTGATACCGCTTTTTGCTCTTCGAAGAAAGGCCCAATAAATAGACAAGCGCGTTCCACTACTCTCGCAAATGGCCTGGATCCACCGCCGTGGACTCACGACCCATTCCACGCAGGCAAGCATGTGGTTTCTGGACGTCGGCGAGTAGGACCTTTCCGAGTCGTGGAAAGTGGAGCACCGCAATGCTCACCAGACGGCCCGGAAACGCCACAGCGACTGCGGGCGCTGAACAACATAGTGCCAGCGGACATTGCACTCTTGCTGACGGCAGGACATCCGCCTCGGCCACCGAGCACCACGGAGCATTGGAAGCAGCAGTGCTATGAGCTCCGCTGTGGCCTTGAAGTCGCCGCAGACTGCTTGAGCGCCGCAGAGCCTGTGGACACTAACGCGTGTGAACAGCGGCAGGGCCCTGGGTAGTGGAAGAAGAAAAAACGGCATAAGCATAAACTGGTGATGGTCCGCGCGGATTGCTTGGATCTGCGCTGGACCCCCCTGGCGGCGCCTCCGGCGCCGCTCCTGATGTGCTCTGCGCGCCAAGGAGGGGGGTCCAACGCAGATCCATGATATCCGCGCGGACCGTCAAACAGTTTATGTGAATGCCTGTTTGTCTTTTTCGACTGAAGTCGCTGCAGACTGCTTGAGCGCCGCAGAGCCAGTGAACACCCAAGAGTGTGAGAAGCGCCGTGGCTGTGGGTAGGGCCGCCCTTCCGCCATCGCATCCTGACTCCCTCCCTGCATCTCCCTGTAAAGTCGGACCTGGGCCAGAAAAAACATCCTTAAGAACATTAGACCCTCCGTCGGCCAAAGCAAACAGAACATCCAATGGTACCCTCCCCGGGATGCACAATAACACACAACAAGCAAAAACAACCTGAGGGCACCATCCCCGACCGACCTCGATCTTGCACCTCGGTCCGACTGCAAGTTCCTCCTCATCGTCATCCTCTTCATCCTACTGCTCAGGGGCTCTGGTTGCTCCGAAGGCGAGCTGGTGATCGCAAAAAGCTTCTCTAACCCAAATCAACACGCATGTCACACCCAAAACGACATGCTAGGAAGCTGTGACCCATTCACCGGCCACGTATCCGCCGTGCAGGATGCGTGCGACAAAATCAACTCGCGCTTGTGGGCAGGCGCGCGGTGCTCTGATTATCAGAAAATAGTCAGGTGATTATTTGTGGATTGTTTTTGTTGGCCTTTCTGGGGCATTTTTGTTTTTTTGTTCGTCGAAAATCCCCCTGTAGGGGGACACGCCCGACATAAATCTAGGCAAACATGTCTTTTTCGGACGTCGGCGAGTAGGATCTTTGCGAGTAGTGGAACGCGCTCGGTGAATGAACACCTCGCCATCGCTCGGACGTCCATTCCTCGTGTATTTTTCGATTTCGTGTGTGTTTTTTTTGCGCCAAATGATCAAGGATGGTCCTCGATGGCCGTCGCCGGGAAAAAACTGCACACGTCCGAACGATGCCAAGACACTGGAACGCCCACCGGACGGCTCGGAGACGCCACAGCGACTGCGGGCGCCGAACCTCACCGTGCCCGCGGCCATGGCGCTCTTGCGGGCGGCAGGACAGCTGCCGCGGCCTCCGAGCGCCACGGGGCACACTGAAGGGGCCTCAGGACACACAAATAAATGCACACAAATCAAAATATTCCCTATAGTTTCCCATATTTTCTAGGTTTTTGTCTCCCCCCCCCACTTCCCATATTTTCCCATGTTTTCTGGGGAATCGACGATTAATTGTGTCTGTGTGTGTTTTTGTTTCCCTCCTGACATGCGAAAGCAGCCGTGCTATGAGCTCCGGCGTGGCCTTGAAGTCACCGCAGACTGCTGGAGCGCCGCAGAGCCTGTGAACACCCATGCGTGCGACCAGCGCCGAAGCCCTGGGTTTTCGGAAGGAGATACAACGGCATGGCCATAAGCTTCTGACGGTCCGCGTGGATTGCTTGGATCTGCGCTGGACCCCCTGGCGGCGCCTCCGGCGCCGCTCCTGACGTGCTCCGCGCGTCAAGGAGGGGGGCCCAACGCAGATCCAAGAATTCCGCGCGGACCGCCAAACAGTTGTATCTGCATGCTGAATGCTGTTGTGTCTTCTTCGATTGAGCTCACCGCAGGACTGCCTGGGCGCCGCAGGGCCAGTGAACACCCCTGCGTGCGAGCAGCGCCGCGGCCGTGGGCAAGGCAGCCCGTCCAGTCCCCTCCCGACTCCTTCCCCGCATCTTCCTGCAAGGTCCTCCTCATCGTCATCCTGTTCACCCTGCTGCTCTGGGGTTCTGGCTGCTCCTAAAGGTAAGTCGGGCGTGTCCCCCGACAGGGGGATTTTCGACGAAGAATACAAAATATTCAAAACATACTCCAACATGTAAAAAAATACTCCATAAATAGTCCCCCGACTATTTTTTGACTACCCCTGTAGAGGGACAGGCCCGACTTAACCCTACTTCTCTGGGGTTCTGGCTGCTCCCCAAGCGCTTGAGCAACACCTGCTCTGCAGCCTACTCTGCGTCTCGCTTTCAAGGCTTGCCGGGCCGGTGCGCTCTGGAGGCTCATGTTAGCTTTAAGTCGGGCCTGTCCCCCTACAGGGGGATTTTCGACGAAACATAAACAATAGTCAACCAATACCCCAAAATGGCAAGCAAATGCTCAAAAATCGTCCCCAGACTATTCTTAGACTATTTTTGAATATCCCTCCTGTAGAGGGACAGGCCCGACTTAATGTTAGCTTAAACCAGCACGCATGCCACGCCCAAAGAGACATGCTGTAAAGCTGTGACCCATACACCGGGCACGCACAGCACGATGAAGAAGCCTAAGGGAATAGCACTGCACTTGTATCCCTGAGATCCAGCGCTAAGCGTAGCACCACCCAGGAATACCACAATGCACCAATGAGCAATCACAACCAACGTGTTCATCACAACCAATGGGCATCACAACCGGAAGGAGAACGCCGCTGCATACGAGGAGGGAGAAAGGGACACGAAGCGAGTGATTGACGAGGGGACGACAGAGGGGAGGGAAGGGGGGGAACCAAGGGAGGGGACACTTAAGACGACGCCAGGATGAGGATCAACTCGGTCGAAGATAAATCGAGAGTCTCTGAGATCCCGCGGCTCTGGAGGATGCCTGGGGCTCCGCGGCCCTCTAAGAGCATTCCAGAACGCTCTGAGAGCGTTCCAGACTGCTCTGGAACGGCCTTACCCTCGTCCTAGCACCGTCCGAGTACTCGAGATCTTGTCTAGCCCTGCCCGCTTCGCCTCCATCTTAGCCATCCTGCGCTTCTTGGCCCGCTGGTGCTTCAACTCTAGGATCTTGAACCTCTTGTGCTTCTTGTACTCTGCCAAGGACTCGAAACTCTGGACCTCGGGTTGAAATCCGAATTGTTCCAGGAGCCCCCATAGGTCCTCGCAGTTGTGGGCATCAGCACCGCGCACGTTCACAGAAGGAGGGGAGGTGGTCCTAGCGGCTTGCCACCTTAGCAGCAGCAGTCCGGACCACGGGAGAAGGTGTGCGAGGTTGGGTGAGGGTGCTGGTGGAGGGGCGAACCGATCGGCGAACAGAGCTTAACGAGAACAACGACCTCGGCCGCGTTGGGATCCGTCACAGCGATCGTGCTGTCCTTCGATTTCAAGTAGTCGAAGCCTGCCTTGGGGATCTTCCAGCCTTTGGTATTCTCTGGGCACTTTGTATGCATGTGGTAATCGAAGGCGTAGGACTCAGGCATCCAGCTTCCAACCAACTCGGGGCCGTTGTGCGCACGCGCCGACTTGATGTTCTTACCAACCATCCAATTTTTGGTTTCCAATCCATAGAACAAGTAGTAACCATTGGGGCCAGCGTAGACGGGACGACCCCCATGGAAGAATGGATCTGGCACAAAAGTTTGCTTACCCCATGTAACTGTAGCGGTCTTGGAATAATTTCCGAACCATGGTGCCTGTTTTTCCGTGTTCACACTGCGGTTAAGTTTGAATATGTTGTTGAAGTTCACAGTTTCAGCGCAATCTTCCTCCACCGAATGGCAATCCTCAGGATCGCTCTCCTGTGCCGGCATATGGCAGCAGCCACCCAGGCGCTTGATATTAAGTCCAACCCGCCCTTTAGGGCGCGAGTGGTTCAGAGCGCTTCCTCTTCCACCCCCCCTCCTTCTTCCCCTTGCGTGGAGGGGTTTGCCCCTCCCCCTGCTCTCTCCCCGTGGGCCTGGACGGGGCGCCCCGAGAGGTGCCAGCGTGTCCAAAAAAGGCATCGGCGGGAAGGCCAACAGCACTGTTGTTCCTCAAGTCTTGGGCTACTTTGGATTGAATGCCCCCCTCCGTCTTTGATCGCTCACCTCCAAGATGGCCTCAGGATGGCCCCCCAGGTTCCCGGGAGTGCCCCAAGAGAGCCCCAAGAGGTGCCCAGGAGGCCCCAAGAGGCCCCCCGAGGCTCCCCCCCCGAGGCACCCAAGACGCTTTAAGAGGGTTCTGGGGCCGCCAAGGAGGCCCCCAAGACGCCCCAACAGGCCTACAGGAAGCTCTCCAGAGAATTCCGAAGATACTCCGAGAAGTCTCCAAGAGGCCTCAGGCCTTCCTGTTCGCCCTCCTCCTCCTCCTCCTCATCCGCCTAATCCTCTTCGTCCCTCCTCCCTTCTCCCTCCTCCCTCCTTCCACCCTCCTCCTCCCACCCCTCCGTTCCTTTTCCTTATAAGTTACTTCTCCCTGTCGCACCCCGAGGCCATTCGGAAGAGCGGCCCGGCGTTTCGTCTTACACTTCCCTGCAATTTGTGATCCTGAAAGTTGAATTTTGGCAACGGCTTCACAGATGGAGGGCGGAGTGCTTCCAAACATTTGGTTCTCGCCTCAGCGTCGCACACATTCGTCTTGACAGATTGCAGAAGCTTCACGGATTGAGAGCAGGTCTTTGTTCAACATGTGGCTATTGCTTTAGCGACGCGCAAATCCGTCTTCAAATTTGTATGAATTTTACGGGTTGAGGGCGGTTCCTTTTCAACATTTGGCTCTCGCCTTAGCGCCACGCACATTCGTCCTAAAAAATTGCAAGAGCTTCGCGGATTAAGGCTGGGTGGTTTTCAAAATGTGGCTTTCACCTTAGCGCCGCGAACATCAGTCTTAACAAATTGCACGAGTTTCACGGGTTGAGGGCAGTTCCTTTTCAACATGTGGCTCTGCGCCGCGCACATTCGTCCGAAGCATTTGCGACAGTTTCACGTATCTCCATGGTTAGCGTGTCAGGAATGAATGTTGGAACGACTCTGGGTTGTAAGAGCACAACAGTTTCGTTGATTCACGGTGTCCAGGTCCCGAGAACGGTGTTCTAGCACGGTTCGGGATCGCCAAGACGCAAGAGTCAGGTTGATTCGTGGCGTTGAAGTCACAACAATAATGTTCTGCAACGCTTCAGAATCTTCCAACAGTTGTCGCCCAACGGGGCACTTCCCTCAGTGGTACTGAAACCTTGTAGGGGCCTTTGGATAGTGAACTTGGAGAGAGTGTTTAGTCATGTTTAGTCCAACTTCGTTGATGAGTCTTCACTGGTCCTCCTCCTCCTCCTCTTCTGGTTCCTCCTCTGTGCTCGCCCTCTTGGGGTATGACGGCTCCCCAGCCTTTATTTCACTGCGTGCTCCCCCACATGCCTGATCAGGGCAACTCGCCTGGGCATCGTTTCTGGATGAGCTGGTGGGATTACGCGGAGCATCTAGAATTGCAGCGGCTTCGTCAGCATCTTCACGTTATCCACGAGGTCGCAATAAAAATTTGACCAGGCGCTGCAAGAACCGTGGTTCATAGCGGAACACTTCTCAAACGGACCAGAAGGTTTGCGGACAAAGCTCAGGAACTTCTCGTCCGCTATGGCTGGCTTTGGGCCGCCGAAGAAATGCGATACCACCACTTCTGTGCAGCGTTTCTGGCACTTGTCAGCCCCTTGCACGTCCCATGGGTCCATGCAGTTGTATTTCCTGTCCAGCGCTGTGGCGTTATTCTCAAAATAATCATTGATGATCTGCTCGTCGTTCTGCCTGGTCGCATTGCCAGCCATGACCGCGGCTGCTTTGACTAACATTCCCATGTAATGTTCGAGACTCGGCTTGAAAAGCATGACGCCAGCGCTGTACGGAGAGTTGACACCATGGCTGTGCACTCTGTTGCACCCGTTCGGGACCATGCCGATGTTGCCCTCGGGAACGAGGCTTGCGCCAGTCCCGTTTAACAAGGCGTTCAACTCGCCACTCGCAACATAAGTGTCTGCATCCATATCCGCCGACCCCCGCTTGCCAGGGTTGTGGGTTGACGTTGCGCGCGAGACTTTGGGCTGTCCCCCTCCCGATCCCCTTCCCCCAGAAGCCAACATCTCGTTGAACGGACTGTGGGGATTGGGGGCGGGAGGAAGAAGGGGAGTGGGAGGACGAGCTCATCAACGCACCTCCAGGACCCTCGAAGCCTTCAAATCCGAAATCCACCACCTGTGGCGTCCGAGGTACAGAAGATGCCTTGCAAGATGGGCTCAGGAAAGGGCTGCAACACGCTGGAGAGGCCTGAAGCTCACCCAAGACGGCCTGAAGGCGGCCCAAGAGGCCATCAAGACGCCCAAAGAGGGCCCCAAGAGAATGTGCAAGAGGGCATCCACAGGCAACAACTATGGAGGTCCCAACGGTTTCTTCCAAACCATCCTGTGGTTTGTTGGGTCCTCCTTCTGAAGAGACAGCGCCCCGCGTCTCCCCCGAAATTACACAATATGAATTGTACCCTCCTCTCTCCCCTGATGACGTCCACAAGACATCCGGCCCCCCTCCGCGTTTTGTTTTTCACACACAGGATGCCCCGGAAACGGATTTTCGCTTGATTTGTTTCAGGGAGTTGCTCTCGATGAAGCGCTGGCCTCATTATCGGGCTTCCGCTCGTTCCGAATCGAGCTCCCGCTGCAGCGCTGGCCTCATTTCCGCACTTCCTCTCGTTCCGAATCGTGCGGCCGCTTCACCGCTGGCCTCATTTCCGCGCTTCCGCGCGTTTGAAATTCTGGTAGTGCTAAATCGTACTACCGCTGCAGCGCGGGCCGCTGCAGCGCGGGCTTTCTCGTCCTTCCAAATCGGCCCAAATATAAAACATTGACCTCCGAAGCAGCATCAGAAGTGATTCCACATCTCGTCTCAATTCGCTTTTTCTTGGGCCCGCAGAAGTTAATCCACATGTAATGTCCATTCGTTCATTCTTGGGCCGCAGAAGGCCCCCCCCCCCCCACTTTGGGGCATCGTCGTTTTGAAGAAGTATCAAGCGGGAGCCCGTTTCTGCTTTAAGAAGGCGATGTTGAAACCAGCAGAGCCAGCGGGTTCTCTCCATCAGCCCCGCCTCGTGAGGAACTTTCGGGGAAGCCTAGAGAGCTGAACATGGAGCAGCGGCTTCAGACCAGCCCAGACCTACCGAAGACGATCATTACCCCCCAAGGAACCCAGTGCCACTGTTCTGTGCCGCTGTGCGATGCCATGCTGTGCGTCGCAATGCTTTGTGATGAAATACTTCACCACGCAATTCCACACCATGCTATGACATGCTACGCTTAGCATTTCTCTTCTACGCCATGCTATGCCATGCGCTACGATGCATCGCGCACCCTCCTGGGATCATTGCCCTGTTCGATATCCGCCTGTACGAATGGAGAGGAGATCTACGCCATGGTAAGGGATGGGAGGAAGTGGTAGGATGTCAGATATGACGCGAACGCACCTAGCTTGCCTCATCCCCCTCCCCCCTCCTCCCTCCTCCTCCAATTTGTGCCTCTGCCCTCCCGTACCCTCCATTCGGCACACCCCTCACACGCACCGTGGCCCCTTAGGGAGCTCCACCGTTGCAGTGGGAGCGTACGCACGCAGCCCCGCACCCATTTCGGCACACCCCTCGCACGTTTCGCGGTCCCACAGGTAGCTGCTCCACCGAAGGCGCCCAGAGGGAGCGCTCGAATGCTGCCCCGCACAACCCCCGTGCATTCTGGCTCAAGGATTCAAGGTTTAAGATACACATCCGGTAACTCACTCAGAAGAAACAGAAAAAACGTCATAAACACAAACTTTGTGGCGCTCCGCGAGGACTTCTTCGATCAGCGCTGGACCCCCTCCCTGACGGGCGAAGCGCGCCAAGGGCGGCGCCGGAGGCGGCGCCGGGGGGACCAGCGCGGATCCAAGAAATCCGCGCGGAGTGTGGAAAGTTTTATGTGTGTGCCGTTTTGCCTTCTTTGGTTATCCACCGGTCGGAAGAAGTACATCGAAACATGAAGTAGGAAGGCGTTGAAAGTAGATTGCGTGTCCGCCCGCCCCCTAGAGAGGAAGGAAAAGGTGAAGCCACTCGATCACTGAGACAGGAAGGTGCTTAAAGAAGATTAGAACCTGGGGCTCCATACATTCTTACTTTCGACGACCGATGAGTACTCCCTCTTACCGTTAAGTTGGGCCTGTCCCCCTACAAGAGGATTTTCGACGAAAAATGGAAAAATACTTCAAAAATACATCAAAATGGTCAAACAATACTCCAAAGGAATATTCTTTGACAATTTTGTTGGGATTTTTTGAAAGTGTTCGTCGAAGATCCCCCTGTAGGGGGACATGCCCGACTTAATATTACCGTCCCGCCGACACCGGTGCACAGCTTGCCTCTCGTCCTATCGACGACCTCTCGAGTCATCCTCTCCTGCGGGAGGGTCTCGCCTGCCGGGGCGCGTGGACACACCTATCGCGGCCAGGTGATCTGCTGCAGAGGCTCCCCAGCCTTAAGTCGGGCCTGTCCCCCTACAGGGGGGTTTTCGACGAAAAATAAAAATACCCCAAGATTATTTAAGAATAGTCCAAATATAGTCTGGGGATAACTTTTTGAGTATGTTTTGACCTGTTTGGGGTATTTCTTGGGTATTCTTCATTTTTCGTCGAAAATCCCCCTTGTAGTGGGACACGCCCGACAGAACCCCAGCCCTTTGAACGAGATGGATGGGAAGGGGCCCAGGAACACACAAATCAACATACCGAACTCCCAGGACGCCTTAGCTTTTCAATCTTTTCTGGAGTGCCGTCTTCCCCTCCACGTCCCACATGTTCCTGGGCATCGGCGACTATTTGTGGCTGTGTGTGTTTTCCCCTCCTGCGGATGGGGCTGAGGGGGCAGAGCAGCACCACGTCGGCACGCCTGCCACTCCAGCAGGCGCCCAGGCAACAATCGCCGACCCTTCATGAGATCGCGGCCATGTTCCGGCAGGAGATGACCCCGCTTCAGCGCGGCATCTCTGACCTCGAGAACAACGTCACCATAATGGGCAACATGATGAACACACGGACGAGCGCGGTGGAGGGGAAGATTGACAGCTTCGAGACCCGAATCGCGGATCGTGAGAAGCCGAATGCCAGCAAGACGAATACTACCTGGTCTGCTTGCACTGCGAACGCAGAGATTTGCGAGCGGCTCAAGGTCTCGGAGCTGCAGATCGCCATGCTGACGGTTTCGGACCCCAGCAGTGCCGACAACAAGGCAGAGAGGGACAAGGCCCTGGTCATCGGTGACCTGCAGTCGTTCGTCGCGGTGGAGGATTCGAAGGATAGTGTGCCAAACTAACTTTGGGACGCTTTCGGGCCCCAGCCCCAAAATACCTACACCCAAAACGATTTCCGGGGCATTGTTTTCCTGAAACTTCTGCCCACAAGAGACCAGGATAAAGTTTCACTCGTGTTCCGCAAAGGGTCGTTCAAAGAAGGGGGAAACAACATTTGGGCGAAGCGTGACAAAGTCCTCTGGGAACGAATCCTTTCTTCGTTCGTTTTTGAAGCGGAACAAATGCTAAGAAAATGGGGATACGAGTCCACAGCCGTGTGGGCCGACCCAGAAGAAGGCAACATCTGGGTGGGCGATGTCGTCGCTGTTCACGGGTACGTCGAGGGGGGTAAGCTGTCCGTAGACCACGGGCCTGGCTGAAAAGATTGGCTCACGGACCCGGCGCTCCCCGAGTACACCACCCACATTGCCACGTTGAGCAGTAAGCTGGATAACGTCCCGACGAAGGGGGCTGGAAAGCAGCGTTCAAGGGAAAGGTGAAGAGTGGCAAGGGAATGGGCTCCCAGCGCAAATAAGGGCGCGAGCGGTGCGGAAGCAGAGACGTTTCACCTCAATTACGTGGGTGTGGTCAACATTACCTTCCACATCCCCATAGAGCTCCTGATGATTCTACCGCGGAACGAAGCTTTCTCGTAAAAAGCTAGACAGAAGCGAAACAAGTTCAACTGGAGAGCGTTATGAATCAACATCGTATTGGGATCCTGTGCGTACAACATATCTGGGGGCCGAAATCTGACACTTTCGTTACCGAGACTGGCCTCTTAATTGCCTTATCTGGCGGGGCGGAAGACGATTCAGAGCGTGCTGGATTGGGTTCCTGCTAACCTCGTGGGTCCAATGACCGGTGGTGGGTTTCTGCCAGGCTACATCCGCAATGGCGTCCTTGCAGCTACGAGTGCCAGGTGTCAAGGCCGCCATCTTCTCCGCCTACGCGCCCCACAGTGGCAAGCCTTTCGAACAGCAGCACGCTTTCTTCCACGATCTTGTAGAATTCGTTGGGTCCAGATCCGCTCGCGGACCCAAGCTTGTGTTGGCCCCCAAGTGTTGCTCTGCCCGCAAGAGGACTGGAAGGAGGTCGCTAACAGACGCTTGCTCGTGGAGACCTGCACGTATCTGAGCATGTGTCCGGCGAACAAACTCTCTGACGTTCCTCTGGATTGCCTGACAACGTCGGAACCCTGGCGGGCACGGTTAATGGATAACAGACGCACTCGCAGATCGATTGTCCGGTGTGCGAACAGAGCCGACGCCACAAAATCAAACGCGTGTCTGCGCGCAGGGAGGTGCCGTTATCCTCTCACCATTTCCTGCTGCAGGCGTCGGTGCTGCTAGAAGTTGAAAAATGCGGCCGAGAAGCTGCATTTAAAGCAGAGAGGAGACTGGGAGCATATCCGTAAACTGCGACGAGGTTTTTGCCCTGCACAGGGTCGGCTCCGCGGCAGCACAGGCGAATTGATCGAGAGCGACTGCCGGGCACATCTGCGTTGAGCGAAGAGCTGCCGGTGAACTTGCACTCGAAACGCTGTCATAAGGAACCCTAACTAAGGAATAGGGCCCTGGTAGCTCATCAGTTGAACTTCGATTTCCCATAGGTGGCCTAAGGAGGAAAACCTAAGACAAACTGCGAAGCAATGAAGGAACCCTGAGCTCCTCCCCCACGAGAAGGGTTTCTTCTGCAACGGCCCGACTGTAAGTGCCATCACGGAGAGCGAAGTCTCTTCGGCTGCAGCGACACGGAAACACGGTCGCGCTGGCGGCCTCGATGATCCGCCGCCCGAGACTTGGAAAGCCGCTGCAGAGGACAGAGTACAGTCAAAACGTATATTGAGGACGCGTGGTAAGGACGCAAGACCCTTGGAGGCTGAAGCTGGGATTTTTTGGGCGGCGGCGACCAGTGAAAATGGCAAAGGACGGGCCACAGAGGCAAGGACGCAAGGGTATTTCAGATGAAGGCGCGCGTCCTTACTAGGCGCGGTGACTGTACCTGCGCTCGCTTGGATTACCAGATTCTGCCACATGGTTTGGACGCAGGGTCGGGTCCGTGGCGCCTGGCACAAGGAGCGCGCTGCATGGTCAAACGAAAAGGCCCGACAGCGTGCGACAACTGAATGCCGATATGACCGCTTCACATTGGATACGAGGCCTTCGCGTTGATCCAGTTGCAGAGGTTGAAGGATGCTGGGGCCGAAGACCGCATTTGGCCAACTTCATTCGGCGTTCGCTTCAAAAGAGGCACCGCTGAGGCGATCTCCGTGGCAGGACGAATCCTAGGGGATGCCTGCTCAACCGAGAACGGCAGCGCGATGCTTTTGGCTTTAGACTGGGCAAAACTTTCGACTCGGTGGTGTCAGACGCTTTGGCAACCTCGCGTTTGGGTGCCCAGACAGACTCGTGAATATGGTCAAATAACTAACAGTGCCAGGACCTTCGTGGTGTCCGATTTCGGTGTATCGTCCGCTGAACGGGACCAGTTTTTCGGTATTTGCCAAGGTTGCCCATTGTCCCCGTTTTTGTTCACCATCTTCATGACGACTTTGTTGATGGCAGGCGCGCAGAAAGAACTTTGGCTGCGGTTACCAGATCTTCCTGACGCAATTCGTCCGGGAGCTCATGTACGCAGACGACACTTTGCTCCTCGATGTTGATCCCTTCGTCGTGGGCGAGCTGAGGGCGTGCGTCGAGAACTGTGGCGAGCACTACGGCTCAAATTTGAAATGGAGGAAAGAAGATCTGATGAAGGTCCATCCTGCAGAACAGCGCCAGAGATCAAGTACAAGACAAAGAAGCTCTGACTTACCTCGGCACCTAGCTCGCGTCGGACAGGTGATGCGGATCGGAGCTGGACTAGAGCATCGGCAGGCCAAACAAGATGCCAAGGCATTGAATCAGCGTGGTCGAAATCTGCATTGAGCAGACAGAGCAATGTAAAAATTGTCAACGCGTACATGGTTTCCCAGCCTGCGCACTGTCCGTTTGCAACTTGTCTTAATCAGGCAGAACGTAAAAATATGGACGGCTTTCAGGCGCGCTGGTTAAGGTCAATGTTTCGGGCCCCATCTTGGGCGCCCGAGTTATCCGGGGTAACTCGGGTCCGGGGTAACGCGGGTTTGGATTCCCGAAAAACGAACCCGCGAGTTAGCCCTGACCCGAGTTACCCCTGATGATTCGGGGCTCTGGGCGCCCGAATTATCCAGGGTAGCCCGGGCCCGGGGTAACGCGGGTTTGGATTCCCGAAAAACGAACCCGCGAGTTAGCCCTGACCCGAGTTACCCCTGGTGATTCGGGGCTCTGGGCGCCCGAATTATCCAGGGTAGCCCGGGCCCGGGGTAACTCGGGCTCGGAATCCCGAAACGCGAACCCGAGTTAGCCCTGACCCGAGTTACCCCTGGTGATTCGGGGCTCTGACCATCTGCGTACATCAGTCGCGTGTCGAACGTCGCCTTGCTGAACATGGCTGGTGACCGGCCGCCGAGCGAGCTCGTCGTCAGACAACACATGATGGCCTCAAGGCAGCTCGCCGGGCACGATCCAGTGAGACACACTCAGCATTGGAACCCGGCAGTCTCGCTCTCGAGCAGCCGACATGCCCCCGGAAGAGAGGACGCCCCCGGCAAACGTGGGGAATAATGGTAACGAGCAGTTGTTTGGACATTGCTGGGCCCCCTGCCCAGCAATGGGCGAAGTCTGTGCACGAGCTTGCCCAACACGTGTAGATTGCACCCGCAACGTTCTCTTTCCTCCCACGTTCCTCCTCCCCCGCCCCTCCTCCTCCCTGTCTAGTCATAATTCGCCTTTTCATGGGTTGCCAATGCTGCAACTCATTGTGCCCACGCGTCCCTCTGGATGCACGGCTGTGTGGTGGTGGTGGTGGGCCCCCTGCCCGTCTTGCTGCCTACTTCCGCCCCGAGGGCGGTGCAAGCGCCGGCAGGGTAGCCAGCTGTCCGCGCATGGCGCCTTTGCTTTCTGTGTTGTATCATACCATCGGGGCGTTGACCTAAGGAACTCCAAATAAGGAACGAGGCCCCTTTCTCCCATAAGTTGAACTTCGATTTCCCATGGGAAACCTCAGGAAAACCGAAGGCAAACTGCAGAACAATCAAGAAACACCGAGCCCCTCCCCAACGAAAAGGGTTTCTTTTTCAGGGCCCCGACTGTACTCTCTTGCTTGCGCACCGGCTGGCGCAAGGCGACCTGACTGACTGACTAGATTGAGCTCCGTCGAAGGCCCTGGTGGGAGCGTTCGCATGCCGCATTGCAAGTATTTCGGCACCATCCTCGCACGCTTCGTGTCCACACAGGAAGCTCCACCAGAGGCCCCAGTGGGAGTGTTCGCATGCAGCCCCGCACCCATCCTGGCACACCGCTCACATGCCTCGCATCCCCATAGCCAGCTCCACCGACGGCCCCAGTGGGAGAGTTCGCATGCCACCCCGCGCCCATTTCGGCGCACCCCGCGCACGTTTCGTGGCCCCGTGGGGAGCTCCGCCGACAGCCCCAGTGGTAGCGTTCGCATGCCGCCCCGCCCCCATTTTGGCACATCCTCCACAAGTACCGTGGCCCCATAGGCAGCTCCGCCGACAATACCAGTGAGAGCGTTCGCATACCGTCCCGCACCCATTTCGGCACACCCCTCGCACGCTTCTTGACCCCATCGAAGGCGCCAGCGGGAGCGTTCGCATGCCGCCCCGCACCCATCTCGGCACACCCCTCACACAACGCGTGGCCCCGTAGGCAGCTCCACCCAAGGCCCCGGTGTCGATGTTCGCACGCTGACCCGCACCCACTCCGGCGCACCTCTCGCACGCTTCGTGGCCCCATGGGGAGCTCCACCGAAGACGATAGCAGTACCTGCGCTACTCTCGACTGCATATGGCTGGGCCCTTCGCCAAGGTAATCCAAGCTTTCGCGTTCTCGCCTGTCGTCTTCTTCTTGCTCGTGCACCGTGAGGCGGACCGCGAGCCCAACGCCCACCCCCCCCGCTAGACCGGCACGTGATAGCCCGAGGAGCCCCCCAAGGAGGCCGCAAGACGGCCCAAGAGGCCCCCAAGACGGCTCTCAAGGTGGGGCCAAGACTGCCAGCAGAGAGGTCCAAGAGGGGGAACTCACGAGGGCCCCCTGGCCCCCCCCCCTAACGTGGCCCCCAAGATCCCAAGAGGGCCCCCCAGAGGCCCCCCGAGGGCCCCCCGCATTCCCCAGGAGCGCTGAAAAGGCCCCCACGAGGCCTCCCTCGAGGCCCCCACGAAGCCCCATCAGTAGACGCGGAGGAAGAGGAAGACTAACCAACAACAGCTACACACAACAGGCAGCACGGCAACACGCACGCAATCGGAAGCCGCACAAATCCTTTGCTGGAGGTCGGCGGGATGACGTAGGTCCATTCGATAAAGAACACGGCCGACCGGCAGCCTGAAGATGTTGAGTTTTTCCATCGAATCCTGCGACTGCGCGATGAACTGGTCGTCGATACAAGACTTGTTGCCCCCGTGGCACTCCAGTTCGGGAAACCTCCAGTCCGCCACCAGGACGACGTGCCAGCCTGCCTCCTGCAGGACCGCCTGGTTGGCGTCGGTCATCCCCTTGACCCCCAGGGCAATCCTGGGGTAGTCGGGCATGTGGCGCTTCAGCGAGACCCCCAGCATCACGGCGTGGTCGATGTATTCCTGGTTGTTCTTCCCCGCGTGCGTGACAATGGCCGTCGCGTCCCTTCCGAGCTGGATGTCGTACAGGGACAGCCACTCGGACCTGGACCCCTCTGTCCACCAAGACAGCAGCTTTGCCTTCGGCGGGGCGTGAGGCATCTTTGTTGCCGCCTCAGTTTTCTCAAGCATCTCGACCGCGTCGGCCCCGATCTCGGCCCCGACCTTCTGGAGCGCGAGGCACCGCGGGAGCACGGAGCCGCTCAGCGCAGCCAGTGCCACAGGCAGCACGGCAAAGCTGCGCCCCATGGTGGTGAGAATGTCAAAGTGAGTGTAGCGAGCTTATGGACGTGAACGCGGGCTGGTCTGCAAGCCCCGCATGCCTTGAACTGCGATGTGTTGGCCACACAGGGCAGGGAAGCAGGGGGAAGAGGAGGAGGAGGAAGAGGAGGAGGACGACGATGAGGAGGAGGAGGAGGAGGAGCAGCAGCAGCACAGAGGGAACAGGAGGATGCGGCAGGGAGAAACCGAACGAGGAGGGCGGGGGCGAAGACGACGAGGGAAGGACGAGGAGCACGAGCAGGGGAGGGGGGCGAGCGGAGGCGAGGAGGAGGCATGACGAGGAGACAGCAATAGAGCACGAGGGAGAAGTCCGGCCGCGCCCTCCGCTCGGAGCCCCGGCGCCGAGCGTCGGGCCTACTCGTCGCGAGATCCACCACCACAAAGCATCGCGCGCAGGCGCCCAGACAACCACGGCGCCCACATTTGTCTTCCACAGTGGCTTCTGCAGAGACGCTGGCGGAGTGGATGTAAAGGCTCATGGGAATCCAAGGGCGAGAGGGTCAACTTTGGACGCCCGAAATGGGCACGGAAAGAATGGGTACAATGCCCAACAACAAATGTTGTCCCAAACCAACAGCGGCCGCTGTTGGGCAGGCGGCCTTCTGTCTCAAATGGACACAGGCCGCGGCGGCGCGGACAGCGAGTCCTGTTCAAAATGAACAAGAACTGCTGTTGGGTATTGTACCCATTCTTTCCGCGCCCATCTCGTTCGTGCAGATCAACAGCCCGAGCCGCGCCCCGGGTGTCTTTCGCGTGGCGCCCCCGCCGTGCAGGCGGCGGCGCCCCGGAGCTCTTCTGCTGCTCCGAGCGTGGCGGCGCGGCGGCCCCGGCGGCGCGCGGTGAACCAGCCTCGAGCTTGTTGAAGGGGCCCTGGGACACAAAAATAAATACACACAAATAAACAGATTCCCAATATTCTCCCATATTTTCTTGGGCTTCTGTCTTCCCCCCCACTGCCCATGTTTTCCCATATCTTCTGGGGAATCGACGATTAATTGTGTCTGTGTGTCTCCTCCCCTCCTGACTTGTTGCCACAGCCTCGAGCTGATCGCTGTCAACAGGACTGGCAGGCCCCAAAGCGGTGGCACTCTTAGGGGTGCGCCCTCAGAGGCACGAGGACATCCTGAAGCTCGGCATCGAGACAAGATGGTGCCAGTCGTCGGGGAAGGGATCTGCTTCAGGCTGGTAAGCTGTGCCCTGCGAGCTGAGAGGGTGTCGCTCCGCGCCGCGGGGCGATAGGCTGGGAAGAACTCGGGGCGCTGACGCGTGGAAATGACGGCGCGGCTCGCGTGCCGCGCCGAAGCGTGTCGGGCCAGAGTCGGCGGCGGAACACGCTAAGCAAACGCTCCCGGCCGCGAGTCAGACTCCGAGTCGTGCCTTGGGCGTCGCTTGATGGGGGGAGCGATACATGATGTGCTTGTTTTCCACCACCACCATAAGTTGGAGGGGAAAAAGAGGAGGAGGACGAGGAGGAGGAGGAGGAGGAGGAGGAGGAGGAGGAGGAGGAGATAGGAGGAGCAGGACCCCCTCCCCCTCCAACTTATGGTGGTGGTGGTGGAAAACAGGCCCATCAATAAATGGGGGCGGGGAGAAAGATGCACCTCTCGGGCCCTCAAGGCCCCCTTTGGGGCCTGCAGGGGTCCCCCTAGGGGCCCTCAGAGGCTCCTTTTCGGCAGCCCTCCTGCATCCATACATTCCCTCCGCCTACCCTCCTTCCCCCTCCGCCTCTTCCGCCCCTCCTCCTCCTCCTCCTCCTCCTCCAACTCCCTTCGTTGTATCGCCCCCGCCTACACACCGCCCAAATGCCCCTTCTTCGGGCTGTCTCCGGGGCCGAAGAGGAGACTGCAGCCTGCCCCTGGTGCCGAAGAGGCGCGCGCGGGAGGGCACAGTCAACCCGCATGGCACGGAGGCGCGACGAGGATGCGCGGGCCTCGGACGCCCATTTCGAGGCTCTTCGAGCGGGGCGCGGCCAACGAAAGTGGCGAAGGATGGACCGAGGAGGCAAGCACGCAAGGGTACATGCCCTTGGGAAGGCTGCCCGTCCCTACCATGCGGGTCGACTGTAACTGTGAGTCGGGCCTGTCCCTCTACAGGGGGAATATTCAGAAATAGGCAAAAAATAGCCACGGGACTATTTTTGAGCATTTCTTGACCAATTGGGCATATTTGTTTTAATGTTTTTCATTTTTCGTCGAAAATCCCCCTGTAGGGGGACAGGCCCGACGTAACTGCAGGAAAGCCCAGGATCGGATCGACAAGTCGGATCGGCGATCGACACGAATCGGATCGTCGGAAATCGGCAGCGGAGTCGGGAAGAGCCGGATCGGCAGAAGTCGGCAGGCCAGCATGCCTCCCATAAGAAGTCGGAACTCACATCGGAATCCCAGATCGAATCGAATCGGAATCGGAAACCATCGAAACCGAATCGAATCGAATCGGAGGAATCGAAACGAGCCCTGGTCGCACGTCGCCCCGCCCCGCGGGGCGGGAGGCCAGGGACAAGCTCGGGCGGCTGACGCTCGGGGGCCACGACGAGGCCGGCGTGCCACAGCGAGGCGTGGTGGGCCAGGAATCGAAACGAGCCCCGTAACTCTGGCCAGCCCAGGCAGGTGCTGCCAGCCGCCCGCGGCAGCCCGAGGCAGAGCGTCGGCCTCGCTGCGGCGACCACGCCGACATGGAGGCGAACGGGCCGCGGCGCGCCCCGGCCTCCCCC